ACAGGCAGGGGTTCTATTAAAATGGAAGTTGCAAGGCCCAGACAGTGTTGAAATATGCCATCCCAGGCTGCGAAGTAGTACGAACTTCGCTTCTGTTCTCTAAGCACAGGGTGTGTGCTTGCATGCAGGGGCACAGCACTTCAATATATTTAAAAGCAGTTAACATCTTGTGGAAAATCTCAGAAAATACTGACAACACAGCTCATGTCTCAGGTGCTCTGCTGCCAGGGATGTTTCACTGAGGCTCATCTACTCTAATGCTTCATTTTCATATCCCTTTGCATCCTCCCTCCCTCCTTACCACAGATGCAAATTGGCCTAGCATGAAGGACCACCAACAGCAACAAATATCTTCACATAAACTATAGCTTTGCACAAGGCATCTATTACACTGCACCCCAGTTAGGGTGGTATATCTAAGGAAGGGCTTTATGCCCTGATGTACAAGCCTACCTGGTTTTGGCTCCTGAAAAAGGCCCTGGCTTTACTGAAGAGAAGCTCACCTGCCTGCCAGGACATGTTGCTTTTAAATATTCCTGCTAATGCCAAGAACATGCAAGATTCCTCGTAGAAAATGGAAGGTTGATAATTTTCCTGGTAATGTCTTTCATTTGTTGGCAAAATCTAGCCAATTATTCTTTGTAAATTTCTGGATTTACAGGGAGATCCAAGAGCAGATCTCTCCAGCAAAAACCCAGCCACTGTAGGAGTGCCTTGGGCAGTAAGGCCATGTTTCTGTACTGGTGTGCCATGAAAGCATAAGGATTGTGGGGAGTTGTGAGCACCTGCTGAAGCTGCTGATGCACTCATGGTGTTCATAAGGTTTCTATCCACTGGTTTTCATCAGTGAATAGCAAGGGAAGTTCATGTTGCAGACAGAGGGAGGCACATGTGTGCTTTCTCTTGGAGCTAGTCACTCATTTTCAAACAATAGAACTGTGTGTCTCTGATACCTCTCCTGCTGTGTTGGAATTTATATGACATTGTGAAGGGTTTTAAAAAGAGGAGATTGATGGGAGAGAGGAGGCAGTGGTGGCAGAGATGTATATGGATCCAGGAGCATGGAAAAATCTTTTCCATGTGACTTTACATCAACAAAATATAGTAGGAGTCCACAGTCTGAAATCCATTCAGGGAGCTGCTCATTTGGATCATTTAGTAATTAATTGCCTTTGCTTTTCATCTCTAGGTTGGATTATTGTTTTGGATGCTGTTAGAAGCTGTACCTCTGCCTCCAGATAACATACCATACTGAGACAGTGTAGAAATCTTACATGTTAAAGCTTATAAATTCTGAAAGGTGGAATTTTGGAGTAAATAAAATGATGTTGCAGAGGATAATGTGCTCCAGCTGTTTGGTTATTGTTTTTCCCAACAGTGCTAGAAGATTTCAGTGGATCTGTGGGAAATTGTATCCTGAGGATTTGGTTACTAATCAAAGCACCCTGTAGGGTAGAAGGAGCTTAAGTGACTTCTGGCATGTCAGTTCCATTGCTCCCATCTGTGTTTTAAAAACCAGCAACAAAAATACGTTCCATTGAGCTACAGAGTCAAGAAATACAAACTCTGGTCCTTAGACCACAAAGGTGTGAGTCAAATCAGCTCCCTTAGAGTTTTGTTTGTTTGATTCTGTTAGGATCTCATCTCTCTAGTTGTGGAGGAAGAATCTCTGAAGTCTGAGAAGAATTTGGGCCTCTGCTTCCCAGTTTCTGCCCCTCATCCTGTGATCCTGGAGATTGGCTGTGGCTCTGGAGCAATTGCTCTGAGTCTGTTGTGCAAACTGCCACAGGTAAGCTTTTTTAAGTGCTCATAGTACAATAGATGTCTGTGTTATAGGACAGTCCCACTCTCCAAGTCTTCACTGAGACTTCACAGACAAACTTCTTTGTTTTGATGGGACTTTGGCAGCTGAGGTCTCTGACAGTCAGGCTTCATATGTTCATGCTAGATAGAAAAGGGATATTTAGGAGCTGTCTGCAGGAGTAGCAGAGACATAGTCAGAATGAAAGCAGCAAACGTGCTCATCCTCCAGCTGCCAGAGCCCACTATTAATCACCCTAGCCTGAAGCACTGGTGGGTGTTGGTTTAAGCTGATATTCTGGGCTGTGGACAAGAGGGGCTGAGGCATGAGCACGCACTCTATTAGTCAAATTTATGGAGCAGTCATCTCTAAAAATCACCCTGCTGTGAATCAAAAGATCTTGTCTCTAGGAGACTGAAGACTAAATGAATACAGGGAAGGGATTACTACGGAAGTGTCAGTACTTGGGATCGATATGACAAGCACATGGTATGCTGCCAAACCACTTGTTCCCTGATAACAACCCACACCTTTTGAAGAGAGTGGAAAGAGCAGGAAGGGAACTGAGATGAGGGTGACCAAAGCCTTTCTTGCCCTGATTATTGTGTCATGTAACATGGTTAGTGAGGTACTGTTGGTAAGCAGAAAGAGAAGTGAATCCAAGATTTCATCACATGTGGCTAAGGGAAAAAAATTCCCCTTTCCTCAGAATTGCAGACTGGTCAGTTTGTTCTCATGAACAGAACTGCTGTGGCCAGCCCCTACTCCTGTAGAAGTGAAAGGCTTGATGTGTAAAAATTAGAGGCTGATGCCTTTGTTCCTCCTCCCAGTGACATGATAAGGTTAATACTAGAGCTTCAAAGTGTAATTACTCTGATTTCCTGCACTTCACACTCTTTTCCTTGCCTATTAAGTTAAAGAGCTGTGTCAGTCTGTCCCTGTAACTGATAGCAGTTCTTTCTCAGCTGTGCCCAGAGAGGAGCCTTCACTGATTAGTGGTCGCCACACTGACAGCTAAGTGGAGCTTACACTCTGTGTGAGCTCTTTGGTGCTTGAGGCAGAATTTGGCAGAAGAGTACTGAGAGAACAATAGCAACGTTTCATTTATGGAGTCAGCTGTGTCCTCACCTTAAGGGTCAGCTTCGCATGTGTGGGTGTTAGCCTCAAGCTGCGAAATTAATCCCTCCAGGAATCATGGCCAGTCACACCATCGTCTCCAGATGACAAGCAGTTTCTTTAAGCGTGCTTTCTCCATGTAAATACTTACCAATATCTGTGTTTAAAAAATGTTAAGCAAAGCAAAGCCATGTCAGACCTTTGCCTGCGCTTAGCCCAAGGTGGAATGGAAGGTCAAACCAATTTCTAATAGTCCTATACCTTAAGTAACGCTAGAGGACTCTCCAATACTTGACACACAGTCAGGTATGCGCAGTCAATACGTGCAGTGAATGCGGTGTAAGGACTGCAGTGGAGTATCTAGATGAAAGGTGTCTGTGTAACAGGTGGAAAATATCAGAACCTCTGTCTGAGTGGTTGTATTTAATGCTGGAAGGGATTCTGCCTGCATTAGAGGCCTTCCTTTAGTCTGTGTCTAGCCAGTGTTGAGTCTCACATTGCTAGGAGCTGTGAACATGTCAGGTGATGTGAGCTGGTGTGCCTCCACTCTTGTCAGCTTTGGTTTGGTCAGGAGCTTGTCTATTTTGGTAGGGTGCTGGCAGTGTTGCACAGTGCCTTCTGTCACCTAACTAGAAGCAGCTTGAGATCCCTTCAGTACACTGAGATGCATTCTTCGTGAGCTGTTTCTTTTAGGAGCCAGGAGTGAACAGGCAGTTGTCAGTTTTTATCCTGCATGTGTTTTTTGGCAGAACATGTCTGTTCAGGAACCTTGCTGATGGTGGTTTGTTTTTTTTCCTGTGCCAGAGCCGGGTGATAGCCGTGGATAAAGAGGAGGCTGCTGTGGATCTCACCAGGGAGAACGCACATAGGTACAAACTTACATAGTACCCATATTTTGTAAATTGTTGTTTAAAAAAGACCAAGGGTCCTCAGTATCTGGACCTGTGGTTCATGTTCATCACCACTGGAAACCAGAGAATGTTTAGTTGGTTGAACATCTAAAGTGTAAGAATTAAGAAAAAAGCTTGTTTACTTGAGTATTTTATTCTTTGACTTGTGAACATGCTTTACAAAGGCAGCAGCGTAAATAAAGCAATAGTACTTACAGGCTGTCTGTCTTCCAAGGGTTTTTGAAGCATTTCATGGTAACTACTCTTATCCTTTTCTGTGAACTTGGCAAACTCAAGGCAGCAGGTAGTAGGAATGTATGTCACTTACGAGGTTAAGGACAAGTACAGCATGAACCTTTCTCTCTCTGACTCCCTTCATCATTATTGCTGTGCTTGTTTCTGGCATTGCTTCTCTACATATAAACTTGCACGCTCACATAGCACTTTTACTCTGATGTGCTAGTGTGGTTTCTCTCGGCATT